TCAGGAGCCCCAGTCAGGTGCCTGACAGAGCTGGGTTCAAACAGATCTGGGTTCAACAACACGACCACCACTCGTGCATCTTGTGATCCTGGGCCTGAGCTCTCTTGTCTGTAAACTGGGCATTATTCCTGCAGACAGGGACTGACGCTCGCGGACGTGAACCTCCTGTGCAGGGCCTGGCACAGAGCGGCCCCTCCGTAACCGGCGGCTCCCCTACCCGTTCTGGGTCTCAGTGACATTGACATTTTATTGGCTGCCCTGTTTCAAACCCCCTGCCCATATGGGGTGAATCTCCTACTTAATGATGTTTCCATTAGAGGGGAGCCCCAATTTACCAGCATGCCTCACAGTGAGGGCCTGGGCACATGACTCATGTTCTACCAATCACAAGCCCCTGGTGCTGCCTTTTGGGGGAATCCATGACCCACGGAGGCAGCGGCACACAGACCCGTCCTGGCAGTGCCTGCATCCTGGTGTCTGGAGACAACAGGGACCGAGTTTCTGCAGGGACTGACCGAGTCTGGGCGTCAGCGGGACAGGCTGCCACGTCAATGCCCTGTGGTGCGGTGGGGAGGGTGCAGGTTAAGGCCATGAGTCCTCCAAGCTGAGTTCTTTGACTCCTGGGGCCTGTGGGCTCCCAGTGTTCTTGAATAAGTTTCTTTGCTGCTTAAGTCACCCATGGCCAGTTTCTGTTGACGGTGACCACGAACCCTGCTGTCTCCCCAGGTCCGAATGCTGCCGACACTCCCTTTTGAGGTTGTTCTCTGAAGTGCTGACTCTCCCCTACCCATGTGTGTAGATGCTGCTCCTGTGTCTCTGGCCGGCTTCTCCAGGCCGATCACAAAATCAGACCCAGGCCCAGAACCAGGGCGGCAGAAGCCACATAAATGGGAGAGTGCACCTTTGCAAGGGGAAAGTGGGCCAGTTCTGGGCTTGAACCCCAGTTCCACAGCTCACATGTGTGATCTTGGGCCCACAGCATACCTCTGAGCCTCCTTTTCCCCATATGTCACAACACCCCAACAGGTTTAAAGGACACAAGGGATGGAAAGTCCCTTGCCCCATGCCTAGCACATTGTAGGCACTGGGTTTCATAAGATACTGGGACAGGAAGGAGGAGTGAAATAGTACTTGCATTGTTGTTTGCGTCAGAATCACCTTGGAGAGGTTAGTCAGATCCAGTAAGACTGGGAGGCCCCTGGGATCTATATCTTTAACGTGTCCCCTGCCTAGAGGTCTCTGCTGCGGGTGGCTGGGGGCCACTGCGCTTGGAGAAATACAGGATGTGAGGGGAAGGACAGAGGAAGTGAGGGTCCCGATGGCTGCGCCGCCTCAGCGGTGGGGATGTTAGCTTCTCTCTCACCGGACGCTTCTATAACCATCCCAAGGAGAATCCAACCTAGCCTTACGGTCCAGGAAGGATGCAGGTAATTTCTGCATACCTGGTTTTCTATCACATTGAAACTATGATGGATACATTTTTCTCCCTTGAATAATGCAATAATCCAATAACATGGACGGATATATAATCGTTCAAATTTAGTTAGCACGTCCCCTGAGCCAGGCATTAAACAAGTACTTTATTTGTAATAATAAAAACAAAGTGAAATCATTTTCCCCATCTCACAGGTGAGGAAACTGAAGCCCAGAGAGGTCACTTGCCCAAGGTCACGTGGCCTAACAGTAGGGATTTGAGCCTAAGCTGTGCCCCCTTCAGGATGTCACATGTTGTGAGGGCATCACAGGTCCAGGTCTCGGGCCGGCGCCGGTGCTTCCAGGCAAGGGGCTGAGGTGCTGGGTGGGACTAAGTGGGTACAAGTGCGAGGGACTGGAGCACATTAGCTCGCTGGGCCTCCGACTCTCTAGGATCCTCACGTACTATGTGGGACAGCCGCGCCTCAGCTGGGACACCCGTTCATTTTGCAGTCAAGGCCTGCCCTTTCCCCTTGGGCTGTGTGGCCTTGGGCAAGGTGCTTCACTCTCTGAATCTGGGGCTGCTGTGAACAGTAAAGGAGATGGGTTATGCCTCAGGCCCAGCACAGAGCCCACATGGAGGAGCCCGGCCAACGGGCCTCTTCCTTTTACTATCGTTCAGTGCTAGGGATGCGGCCATAGTGACTTAACCAGGGGTTGCCGCCCCACCCAGATTCCGCCCAGAGGGCAGGAGTGCACAGCTGGTATTCTCTCTGCCTAGCGACCAACCATTTCCCCTTCTTTAGGGAAGAGCATTTTCACTTGAACCAGGTAACTTGTATTTCTGTAGCTTATAGCTGGCCTGACTCCATGCGGAAGTCGGATGCTAGCATTTATTGAGTGCGGGCAGTGTCCTAGGCACGGCACATGACTAATTCATTCAATCCTCAGGACAGGCCCGTAAAGCAGGTCCCAATATTCCCATTTGTAGATGTGGAAACCATAACTCAGAGAGGTTTAGTAACCTGTGCAACGTCACAGATCTGGGACTCATATTTGGTGATGCAGCCCTGCCCAGGCCATATTTTAAATAAGTGAGCCACTGTTTATTAGCGCGATCGACTCCTCTAGGAGGGGCATTTATTCATTTAATAGTTACTGAGAGCCCACTGTGAGCCTGGCGAGGTGCCTGGCCCTAGGGACAGAGCCTCACAGACAAGCCCCTGTCCTCACGGAGCACCCATCAGGTGGCATGAAGGTGTCACCTCAGGGGCCAAATCGGGGTGGCAGTTGCTGCCTGCGACATTGTTGTGAGAGGATTCGGAGCCACTTCCGGGCTCGGTAGGGAGTGTGGTGGCTGATTACGCAGGCCCTCCAAGGGAGCTGTTGGGGAGTTTCTGAGCATACACTCTATGTTGGACATGTGTTTTATTTCTGAAGATCATTCGCACAAATACATAAGAAAACAGAAATACATCCTAGTCAGAGCACATGTTCCAATTTTTATTTTGAAAGAAGGCACTGTAGATCTAATAACTGGGCCTTGCCTTCAGGGAAATTGGCGTCTGGCTGGTAGCCTACAGGACTCGTGAACAAGAAGATGATTACTGTCAGAGAACCAACTGGAAAGTCCGATCCAGCCCTCTGGGGTGGGACATGCCACGTCATGGGGATGACCAGGGAGTCTCCCTGGGAGAGGAGCCAGTGGACCAGGTTACGTGGAGTGGGGGTGGGGGCAGGCCTTCCAGAAGCGCTAGCACAGGCAAAAAGGTATGGCTGTCTGAAGTGAGAATGGGAGAGGATTCCGGCCTGGCTGGGGCAGAGGGGTTGGGGGGTCAAGGTTGAAAAGGTAATAAACGGGGTTGGGGGTGGACCACAGAGGCCTCGATGTTGGGTCTGGGAGTTTGGGCCTGACCGTAACCCATCCTCCTTTGACCCTTCAGTAGGGGCAACTGGAGGCTTTGAGCAAGGCCATGTCCAGTGGAAGGTACTTCTTGGTGGCTAGAACAGGAATCGGTCAGAGATGGGAGGTGACTAGAATGCCATGGAATGAAAAGACAGACCCTGTAAGTGGGTTGAGGGGACATGGGTCCTAGTCCTGAATCTATGCTGAGATGCTGTGTGACCACAGGCAAGTCCCTTACCCTTCTGGGCTGGTTTTCCTCCGTCTTCTCTTAAAGGCCCTTTCAGACCATGAGGTGGGGGGTGGGGGGTGGGGGGTGGGCAGAGGGTTGCCAGGTTTCTTGTGTGGCCCCTTTTTCATCCACAGCACTCTTTATAACCACCGCTTTTCTTCCTGTTGTCCCTGCCATGTTTCCCGCGTGGGGCTCTTGGCTGGGAGCTCCCCAGAGCGGAACAGTTATGTCGTCCGTGGGGCCGAATGCCCGCGGGGCCCCGGGTCAGGCTCTGACACCCAAGGCTAGTGCCGCTCCACCCAGGCCCGTCCCGGGGACTGTGACTTGGGCCTGCCTGGCCGGAGGCGCAGCCCTGATGGTCCCCCGCCGCCCCCCCCCCCGTGTGGGTGCCCTGCATCATTCACAGGGGACTGCCCTGCACGCAGGTCTCCAGACGCTTCCCAGGCCCCAGGCGTCCGGTGTGACAGCTACCTCTGTACAATTAATCCTACCAGGAACTAAACAAAATCCATCCCCCTTTTCTGTTTAATTTTGTGTGATTATTGTTGGGTTACGTAATACACTCAAATGTTTCAAAATTTAAAAGGCACCAAAACATGTGCTATAAAAAAACCCCTGCTACCCCAGCACACAGCCCTTTCGTCGCCCTTCCTGGACACAGCCAATCTAAATTTCTTTTTAAAACAACTTTAATTTGTTTCCTCCTTGCAAAAATCGTAAGCCCTCAAAGCGAAAACCTAACTTGAAAACAAAACTAAGCCTGACCACCTTGGAATACAAACCAAAAACCCCGCTCCTCGCCCAGATTCTCAGCCTTTTAGTCTGTGTCCTCCCAGACTGTTTTCAATGATACCCACTTTTGAAAAATGAGAACAAATTACAAGAGTATCACAACACGGACTTTTCAGTATCTTTCCGGTATCTCAGGAACACTTCCTTGTGGCTTCTGCCAAATGGCTCCGGGAGCCGTGTGATCTGCGACAGCTGCTGACCTACTGAACCAGGCCGCAGCGATGGGCATTTGGGATTTCTAGCTTTCCCTATTATAAGCAACATGGTGATGGGTCCTACTTGCTTTCTTGGCTCGGTTTTTAAACAAATTCCTAGAAGAGGAAATGCTGGGTTACAATTTTTTTAAGACCTTGGATACCCATCAAACTGACCTTAGGTTCAGCAGGACTGGTGTCCAATCCAAATGGGGTTTCTCAAGGCCGGAAGCCTCGGTTCAAACCCCCTTCAACAGCAGCAGCTGTGCGTGCCCCTGCCCACTGCTCTACATCCAGACTAAGGCCAAAGCCCTCTTCCGGGCCTGGTGACGTTTTTGTTTACCCAGCCAGGAAGAATCACCTGGGACAGTCCCAGGCCCGGGTGAGTCAGCTGATCAGGGGGTGGACACCGCCCTTTCTGGAGCAGGAACCCAGCTGTGACAAGGGCCACCGCCCTCCAGGGGAAGGACAGACACTCTCAGCAGTGGCTGGAGAAGAACGTGCAGCAGCTCCTGACCTGCAGGTAAGATCCACACCCCCCACCCTGCACCCCCCGTAGACTGGGACTGGGAGAAGCGAGGTTTGTTCTCAGCCTGTCCTGCGCCCTCCAGGACTGCCAGGCAGTTTCCTTTCAAGGTGCTTCGCTCTGGGAGAGAAGTATCAACTGGGGTTTCCTCTTCTGACCCCAGCCCAGGGCCAGGTTGAGGGCTGGGAGATCTTCTTTATCTAGACGGGGCCCTGGCTCCTTCTGACTCCCTATGAGGGTGCTCAAGGAGATGGGACCCATACTGTCCTCCCTGAAGCGGGCCCTTGGAAGTCCAGACCAAAAGGAGCCGATTTCCCCAAGGAGCTGAGTGTGGGCATCAGTTTCTGTTACTTGCTTCTTTGCCTGAAGCTCTTCTATCAACCTCTCTCCATGACAAGGAAAACCTAGGGCCAGGGGCTTGACTTCTCTAACAATTGGTTTCCTCATTTGGAGATGCAAAATGTCCCCACAAAGTCAAGAGAATTGAATGAGGTAATGGTCATAATAGGTCAGTAGGTGCCCTTCACACAGAAAGTGAAATGGTGTTTAAAACGAGACTGATGTGCTGGGCAGGCACTGCATTCGCTACTCTACATATGGTGGCCCAAACTAGTAACAATTCTTATACCACCATCACTTTTCACCTGGGCTCCCTGTGCCCACTGTTTGTCTATTCTCTAAACATCAGCCAGAGGGGGCCTATTAAAATAAAAGTCAGACCATGTCACTCTGCTGCTCAAAATTCTCCAGGGGCCCATCTCATTAGGGTACATCCAAGTCCTTGCCATGCATCACCCACAAGCCCTCCAGGATGTGGTCCCTCTACTACTTCCCCAGCCTCCTCTCTTGCTATTCCCCGCGGAATCACTAACTTCAGTCACACTGGTCCGATGCTCCTAAACACAACAGGCACTCCTGCCTCAGGGCCATGGCAGTGGCTCTGCCCTCAGACTGAGTGCTTTCCTCTATCTTCTAGGCTTTTGCTCAAGCCACCCATCACCCCCAGCTCCCAAGCAGTGAGGTTCTTCCGGACCTCCTGACACTCTACCCTCCACTGCGCTCCATCTTTCTCCCCATCACTTCCCACCATCTGACGCAGCGTATGCACTTATTTATCCCCAGCCAGAAAGTTAACACTCCTCAAGGCCAGATGTCTTTTGTTTACTCCCTTATTATGTACCTAGAACAGTACTGGGACTTAGGTGCTCAGTTAACTGTACTGAATGAACACCACCTAACGATTACGGTGTGTCCTGTATGTGCTAGACACTGTGCTAAGTGCTTTCTATACATAGCTTATCTCTTTTTAAGAACCTTTTATTCTCCATGATCACTCTGTGATGCAAATATTGTTACCCATATTACAAAAGAAGACATTCAAAAGGACTTGTCCATGCTTGTTCTCACAAGAGCAGCAGCATTCTGAACTCAGTCCTGCCCGCCTCCACGGTCCTGGCACCTGCCCTGCCTCTCCTGGGTCCTGGTTTGGGGAGCCTATGTCTTCTCTGAAGAAGCCCCCAGCTTCTCTCCAGCAGGCAGTACACCCTGAAGAGGAGGGGGTGGGGTACGATGTGCTGGTGGCTTAGCAACAGCCTCTTCCTTTCCAACTCACAATATCCCTGGGCTAATTTGGCCTTCCCAGAGCTCTTCCTCTGACACTCTAACCCACGCTTCCCTCCTGCACAGTCTTCTGAAGGATGGATGAGTTGTCCACAGAACAAGTGGGAGGCCCGTAGTTTCAGCTCTTTGGAACAAAGTGTTCCAGAGGAGTGTTCTCACTCTAAGTCCAAAGATGGGGGCTGCTGACCCCTTTTCAGCTCTGCTGAACTCTGAGGACCTGATTGCTGACTTGTGGGTGTTGCTATTGCTTGTATCAAAAAGTACTGAAGTGCAGGGATGGAAACTCTGGAAGGTGCAGTGGGAGAAGAAAATTCCAGTGTGAGAGATGGGTTCTTTTCCTCTCAGAGGGGCTAATTAATTGCAGGAATCCATCAGGACCAAACTGAGCAAATTCTTCCATTGTCAGAGTATAGGAGCCAGACTTTCAATCTGCCTCATTAGTCAGATTTCTCTTCCTTTCTAGGCCCAGGGTTTTCCTTCAAAGGACTTTTTTGGGCTTTCTTTTCCCTGTGTGTCTGCTTTTTCACTTCTTTAACAAATGGTAACTGGACACCTGCTGAAAGGATTCAGATACAAGCAATGACCCAGAGAGGGAGACAGGCAAACCAATACAGAACAGTGTATACCCAACCCAGAAATGCCAAAGGTAATGATCACAGCGGGTTCTGAATCAATATTGGCCATATGAATGATGAATAGCTGAATATGAGATTCTGTGGTCTCATATTATTAATATGAGAATTCTGCGACTATGAGAAGGGAGGCTGTGGATGTGAACATTTTGGGGAAAACTTAGAGGAGTTCACAAGATGAACAAGGGGGAGAGAGAAGGTGTGAATGGCATTCAGGACAAAGTGAACAGCACCCACAAAGATACAAAGTCACGAACAACAAGCAGGGCGAGTTTTAGGATCAGCAGTCTGGAATGAATGAAATGCAGGATGAGTGTGGAAGAGTGAGGTGAGACCGGAGCTGTACCAGGAGTCAGTCAGGTCATGGAAATGTGAATACAAAGTTGAAGCGCGAGTAAGGGCAAGAGCTGGATATGGATGGCTTCAAGAGCAGGAGGTGACCATAACCCAGGTTTCTGGCTTAGACCATGGGTTGGATTTAATGCGGCTGTTGCAGACGGGCAGCAAAACTGGGGAGAAATGAGTTCAGGAGACAGTAAAGATCTGGAAGGCAGCTGGGCTCTTAGGACTGAGCCTACCTATCCCTGGAATAGGATACTCCACTGCCATCCTCCTGACCCTCTATACTTGAGTCTTCTCAGGGTCTCTTTCCTTCCTCCAAGAGACCTTCCTCCTTGTCCTAGCCTTTTGTCGTGCACCTCCTATCCTGAATCCCTTATACTTTGCGGTGGGTCCAATTTTGCTATGGGAAGTGATCTGCTTGGCCAACCACAAGTCCCCTACCCTGGCAGCGGGGACTCAAATCAATCACCCGGCTGAGACTACAGGGTGAATCAGAGTGGAGTGGGGCGGGGCACTTGCTGCTCGGCAACGGGGCAGGAGTCGGGACCGGGCAAGAATGCGGTGACAGAGTGGGGCAGACGGTGGCGTCACAACGGGTAGGAAACAGTCGATCGAAGGCGCTTCAAAATACTAGAGAGCGAGGGGAAGGATTCCTGTTCAGTTCGAGCAACAGGCTCCAACCCTGTTCGGTAAAAAGGACGCGGAGCCTGGGCGAGACTTCCTGTCCCTTAATCTGCTGCTTTACCTGATCTCTTTTGTGGATGCCAGCTGAAGAAAGCGAAAGGCCAAGTGGATTTTAGAACCCACCAAGACAAAAACCGACCCAGGGCGAAAGCAGCCGCTTTCCACCCTGCAACCGCAGGGAACTCTGGGCGTCTTCCGTAGCCGTGCGCCGGCCGGGGACGAAACGCATGCGCCTTAGATGCCGCAGCGCACCCTAGAGGTGTGGCGGGGCCTCTGCACAGCTGCCGTAGTCCGTAGCAACCGCGAGAGGTCGCTTCCATCCAGGCTAGGATCATGAGCGGGGTGGGAGTCCGAGTCCTTTGGAGAGCGTGGAACGGATTGACCTGCTGGGAAACTGAGGCCGCGGGGGCGGTGGGGGGCAGGGGAGAATATACCCTGCGGACCGTTGGGGCTTTCGCTGGTGCCCCAGTGCATGGAGTTTGTGCTTGGCTGCTCGCATTTGACAAAGCGGGAATTGAGGGAGGGAAGGGGACGGGTTCCTCCACAGCGGCCGTTTCCTCCGGGTAAAAAAAGAAAATCAATATGATGTCCCACCTTATTACAAAGGAGAAATGGGGGCAATGAAAGTAACTTACAATAAGAGATTTTGTATTTCACTATGTAAAAGCTAAGGCTGGATTACACCCGATCATGCTTGTACCTAACTTAAACTGATTAAGTTTGAATTTAATAAAACACAATATTCAAGTAAATTTTGCCAACAGTTTATATTTGATATCTTAAGTCGAAGGCTACGTGTATTTGTATAAAACCGTGTAATCACCGTGACAGCTATAAATGCAGACACATGTCAGTATGTTCTGATGACTAACCTGTGGTGAGAAGGATCGACTGTGACTTTGTGAAATAGTTAACAAAACAAAACATAACTTACCTCGATTAACCTGGCATATGCTTTCTGGATGATATATGTTCTGTATTAAAACCAGGGACATTGATTGTATTTGTACATAGAACAGGTTATAAACAGGTGTTTTGCCTACCTGAAGGTTTGCAGGATTTTGGAAAGTTATACAGGACAGAGGACAATTTGTTGTGGTGAATTTTTCTATGCATCATAAGGGGTCCAGATCTCTTCTCCCTGCTCCCTAAAGGCTAGTAGTGCCCCCTCAGTCTCGTGACACCCAAAAATGTACACACAAATTCCCGCCTGGTCTTTGGAAAACCACTGATTTATTCAGTCAAATAATTTTTGCCAGCATTTACTGTACATGCTGGGCACTTTTGGTGGGAGGCCTAGTGTAGTGAACGGGACAAAGCCCTTGTCCTTCTCAGGTTGGCTCTATTATGAGAAAATATCCAGATATTAATCATGATAAATAGCTTGACAATAGAGGCAGTACAAGTCAGGTTTAGGAATAAAAGAAGACCCACTAGCAGAGGGTCCCATGACCCAAAGAAAGAGCAGAGAAGTAGCACTTGAGCTGTGCCTTGAAAGAGCGCCAGGTAGTGAAGGGTGGTGTGCCAAGCAGAGAGACCAGCATGATTGAAACAGGTCCAGGGTCCCCTGCACACAGTGGACACTCAAATGCTGTGAGTGAGTACATGGGTGATTGAGTGAGACAGTGTATTTGCTGGCAGGGAGTCGTTCCCCACTATATCAGGAACGGCTAAAAGGCAGGGGAATGCCTGCTTGTTGATTCTGCCCAGAGCCCCAAAATGAGTTGGGGCCCAGAGCAGGTGGCAGTAGTGAAAGGGTCACAGAAGCAGAGAAAGGGTTGTGTGGTCCTGGCCTGGGAGTGATTTCCAGGAAGCGCATCTCTGATTCTGTTCTCCCAGAGGGCAGCTGCTAAAAATACAACCACTCTGCAGCTTCAGCGTTGGGAAAAAACAGGGCAGGGGTGGCCTCTTACTTTCACATCTGCCGGCTGTGCATGATCCTGGTGGCAAGGCATGTTTAGGCAGACGGTACCTGCTGAGGACTGTCTCAAGCGTGTGCCCAGAGTATGTGCACGGTGGGGAAGGGGGAAAGGCCCCAGCAGGTCTACAGGAGGTCACAGTCAGCCTCCCTGTCTCCCTAGGACAATCCCTGACCTCATGAGATGATCATTTCTGCCCCAAAGGCCAGGGTAGGGCAAGGATCTGGAACTACCTGCCTTGGGGAGCCAAGCAGGCCACGCAAACCTGCTGGGTGGGCACTTGGGGAAACCGGAAATCACGCACAGCCCCATCTAGGAGGTAGGCTGCAACTCAGCCCTGGCTCAGTGTTTTTTGTGCATTAGATTTGCTCTTGCATTGGCAAATAGTGTTATTTTTTTTAATACAATTAGAAGTGAAGAATTTTATGTTTCCATATTTTAAAATGTTGGCACTAATTCAAATGAAAAACAAAAAGCAAGACTGTGAGCCCTGGCTAGGTGGCTCGGTTGGTTGAAGTGTTGTCCTGTACACTAAAAGGCTGCAGGTTTGATCTCCAGTCAGGGCACATACCTAGGTTGTGGGTTCAATCCCTGGTCAAGGCACGTAAGCAAGGCAACTGATCAATGTTTCTCTTTCTCCCCTCTCTCCTCTCTAAAATCAATAAACATATCTTTGGGTGAGGATTTTTAAAAAAATAAAGACTGTGAGAGGTTAACAACACACATTTGGGACCTCTGGGTCTTGTTTCCATCCTAGGAAGGTGGGTGTCCTGAGATCATCAGAGTTTTGCTTCAAAGAGGAAAAGTGAGAGCCCAGGCAGAATTTATTGCTGCTGGCAATATTATTGAATTAGTGCCCATGCTAGGGGGTAGAGTTTTCTTTGGGTACCTGCTCCAAGACCCTACTGATCCTGCTCTGGGATAGTTAGGAGGTATTTAGTAAACCTCATGGCTCCCCCGCAAACCCCCATTCCCTTCTCCTCTAGGGACAATGCTCTGTTGAGTTTTAAAATTTTGTATGCCTGTTTTTAAGGATATCTGTTGGTCTTACTTCACTGTGGCCAAGATCAAGGCTGGAAATGGGTGTTATATAGGAGGAACTCTAATGCCCAGAGGTGGAAAGGGATGTGGGGAGTAGGAAGGATTTCTAAAGGCCCCGCTGTCTTTCTTTTGTAATACTGAGTCCCCGCCCACTTGACACCAGACTGTATCCTGTGCAGTTGTGGGACAACGCTTTGCAAACCCCTAACATAGGCGGGTATGCAGCATTTACTCACTACGCACCTGCTGGATTGAATTTAGGTCTCATAAACATGTCTGATCTTTGAAACAGGGCAGGGAGAGACATGGCCCCTAATGCTGCTTTTCCTGGCCAGTATGTCCTGGGTGGTTCCCTGGGCCCGGGTTCTAGAGCCCAGAATCAATTCAATGCGGTGGGATGGGATTCTGCAAGTGTGGAGACCATGAGCTTGGGAACCAAACAGCATTGGGTGCAAACCCCAGCTCCCCCATTTCCAAAATGAGGATAATTATGCCTTCCTGATATCTTTCTCATCCTGAGAGTGCTGAGTGGCACGTGGATAGGAGGCAGGCATCCATACCTCCTCCTACCCCTCACCCCACCTTACCCCCTGTGCCCTGCAGGGCGTTTCAAGGAGCAGCCATGTCTACCCTGTACCCATCTCTGGAGGACCTGAAGGTGGACCAAGCCATTCAGGTAAGCGGCCAGGCCATGTTAGTCTGGGCCCCCTGATGGAGCCTTCAGGATACCCCAGGGTAACTGAGGGAGACTTGTCATGGAAGTGCCGGTCACCGCTGAAGGGCCTGCTGGATGGGCCAGGTGCCCAGAGGTCAGGGCAATGGGGTCACAGCAAGAATAGCAAAGACCGAACAGCTTAGACAGGCTTCTCTTGTGCCCGCTCTGTCTCGGCGCTTCCTCCGCCCAGGCTCGGGTCCACCCCACACTGTAGGGCAGCCTTTTGGCCTGCTCAGCCCCCACAAGCCCCTTCTTCCTTCCATCTCACCTTTGGTCCCAGTGGAATTTGAGACTTTGGAACTTTTCAACTAAGAACTTGGTTGGGAGTTGGGCCTTAATGTTCTGGCTGCCTGTGGGAGGAAATGGGTCATGACATTTGGTGGCTTGTGGAGAGTGACTATGAACCTCCTCTGGAAACACGGACATCTTCCGAGACCACGTTTACACACGACCTTGAAGGTTCATGGGCATCCCCGCCTCTGGCCCGCCAGAACACTTAATGCCCTGACTCCCAGGTTCTAAGGGTTCTGGGGGTGAGGGGTCCCGGACACAGCTGACCAGTCCCCTCCGCCTCTCCCCAGGCCCAGGCCAGAGCCACACCCAAGATGCCCACTATGCCCACGCAGGAGACAGCTGTCCCCCAGCCTCCAGGTGAGTGAGTGGGGTAGTGGGGGGTGCTCCTGACTGAGAGTGTCCTCTCCTGGCTACTTCTGAGCGCTGGTCTCTTGCCTGCTACTGTGCTGTGTGCTCTAAGCAGGCTTCACCTTCACCAGAATGGGGCGCAGAGACAACTGTGGCTCAGAGAGGGCACACCCTTCTCTGATTTGGGGCCATCTTCTCTGGTGCTGCACGAGGGGACCAGAATGTTTGTGGCAGCAGCCTTGATTCAGGTTTTGTTGCAGCAAATTTGAACTTGGGTCCATATCTCCCCTCCTCCCGGGCACACTCCCTGCCTGCGGAGCTGCCCTTGGGACAGGCGCCTGCCTCCCGTTGGCTGTGGATTTCTTAAGAGCCGGGCCTCATGGCCTCAACGCCAGCCCTGTGCTTTGCGTTGGATGTCTGGCCAGCGCTGAGTGAAACCAGTTGAGCTAAACCCCAAGGCGGTACCTGAGGGACTTGGTGTCCCAGGCTGCTCCTGGGGCAGGCAGACGGCTGCCCCTCAGACCTTTGAGGAGAGGGCCACATCACCAGCGAGTGTCCCTCTTGCTCTCCCACAGCACCCGGGCTCCTGGGATACACAGCACTCTCAGGGATAGGCTGTGTTCTTGGGAACTCAGCATTCGCAGGCCCCGTTTCTCAAAAATGAGTGACTTACATTGGAGCAGGGCAGGTGTGGCTAAGCTCTGCACTTGAGTAACATTTTGCTCTTCCTTCTTTCCTTCCCATCAGTGTTGTACCCAAACCTGGCAGAACTGGAAAATTATATGGGTCTTTCCCTCTCCAGCCAAGAAGTCCAACAGAACCTGCCTCGGACTCCGGACGCTGCCAGTGTAGGTATCTGCCTGTTGCCTGATGTGGGCACAGACCTTCCAGCTCTCCCTCCTTTCTCGTTCTTGCCATTTCAACATGCCAGTGGCTCTGTTTCTTGATGGCACTTTTCATTTTGAGCCTTTGTCGTAAGTGCTATGGAATTTTGTGGTGTCCAGTGGGCCTTGGGGTTGAAGGGCCACTGCTTGCCCTTTGACCCCGGCTTCAGTCTGCTGAATGAGAAGGGAGGACATTCAATCCAGCCTGAGCCTGGGAGCTTCTGCTGAAGGGCTGCCTGTGGCGTGAGAGCAGCGGCAGGGGCGGGCAGAGGTAAGTGGGGAAGAGCTGGCTCCTAGCTCTGTTTAATTTGCTCCCCAAATTCAGCAGTGTCGCTGGATTCCTGCTCTCCATGGCTCAGGGAGGAAAAGAAACCCTGACACAGAAACATTCACTTCTGGAAATGTCTTCGCTTATAGACTCAGTCCCCACTCGGACCCCTCCCAGTTAGCTCCAGATCCCTGCAGCCACTTGTCAGCGTCCTTGTCTGCCCATCCCCTCTGAGCCCCTGAAAATGAATGGCAAAGTGCAGGCCGGAGTCTTGCCGCGTCTGGAGGGTTTCGCGAAGGCGGTGGAAGTGGTAATGAGAGGTGCCACAGCCACATACAAAGCCCCTGACAAAGGAGGATCTCGCAGGAGAAAATCGACAAGGATGAGGACATGTGGGACCCTGAGAAACACTAGTGACACCCAGGGGTGTCTCTCTAAACGACCCCCTTGATAGTCATGCTGTGAAATACAAGCATCAAGCAAAGGAGGTCATATTTCTATAGTTCAGTTTTAATTCATTGATTTAAATATCTTTGTTCCAATAATTAGGATGTAAAAGCATGTAACCTAAGTTTTGATAAAAATATGAGAGCTGAATGCATTTTCTAGTATTTAAAAGTTTTGTTTTTATTTTCAACTTCTTATTTTTAAATAATCATAGATTCACAGGAAGTTGCAAAGCACAGAGAAGGGTACCGAGGGGAGCACCCTTTCCCAGTCTTTCCAAAGGCTACGTTTTCCGTAACAAGAGTGTACTAGCCGGGCAGCCAGTTCCATTGGTATAGAGCGTGTCTAGAGTTCTGTGTAGCTTTATCAGCTGCACAGATCACGTAACCACAGGCACAATCAGGGCACTTCATCGCCACAAAGATCTCCCCCGTGCTTCCCCTTCATAATCGTACCCTCGCCAGCGCACTATTCCTAACCTCGAGCAACCGCTCCTCTGTTTTCTGTCCCTATAACTTTGTCATTTCAGAATGTCATGTAAGTGGAATCCTATAGTGAGTGGCCTTTTCAGATGGGCTTTTTAACTCAACATAACTCCCTGGAGATCCTTCCAGGTTGTCATGCGTATCAGTAGTTCATCCCTTTTTACTGCTGAGCAGTCCCATGGTATGGATGTACTGTAGTTTGTTTAACCTGTTGAGGGGCATTTTAGTGGTTTCCAGTGTGGGGCTATTACAAATGAAGGGTTTTTGTATGAACATAAGTTTTCATTTTTCTGGGGTAAATGCCCAGGCGTGCAGTCACTAGGTTGCATGATAAATGAATGTTTAAATTCTTAAAGAAACAGCTAAATTATTTCTAGGATGGCTTGACTATTTTATTTTCCTGCCAGCAACACATGAGAGCTCCAGTTTCTTCACATCCTTGCCAGAATTTGGTGATATCACTGTTTTTAGTTTTAGCCATTATGGTGGGCGTAGTGATGTCTCATCATGGTCTTAATTTGCATTTCGCTAGTGGCTAGTGATGTTGAACATCTTTTCATGATCTTCTTGGCTATCTATATATTCTTTTCAGTAAAATGTTTCTTTGTATCTTTTGTTCATTTTCTAAATGGACTGTATGCTTTTTTAAAGTCAAGTTTTGAGAATTCTTTATTCTGGAGTCCTTTGTGGCTACATTTTACATAACAGTATGCGGTTTGTAAATATTTCCTCCCAGAGTGTAGCTTATCTTTTCATCCTATTAAAAGAATCTCTTGCAGGGCAAAAGTTTTTAATTCTGATGAGGTTCACTTTATTGATTTTTTTCCTTTCATTGGTCATGTTTTGCTGTCTTAAGAAATATTCACTAAGCCCTAGGTCCAGAAGATTTTTTTCCTGTATTTTCTTCTAAAACTGTTATAGTTTCATGTTTTGCATTTAAATTTATGATTGACTTTGAGTTAATTTTTATATAAGGTGTGAGGTATAGGTCAAGGTTCATATTTTTGCCTATGGCTGTTCAATTGCTCCTAAATCATTTGTGGAAAAAGACCATTCTTTCCCCCATTGAAATGCTCTTGCATCTCTGAAAACACAGTCCACTCTGCTTGTGTGAGGCTGTCTCTGGATTCTTTCCCATATGCGTCCGCCCCTCTAACCACACTGTCTTAATTGTTGTAGTATACCGTAAGTCTTGAAATTTGCTTGAGTGTGTCTTCCCACTTTATTCTTTTTGTCAGGATAGTTTTAGCTATTCTAGTTCCTTTGTCTGTTCATATAAAGTTCAGATTAACCTTGCCTATATCTAGAAAACACCTTATAGGTATTTTGATAGAAATTGCATTAAATCTGTATTATCAATTTGGGGACATTTGACAGCTTTACTATGTTCTTTCAATCTATGAATACAGAACATCTCTTCATTTATTTAGACCTTTTTTGATATATTTAATCAGTGTTTTGTAATTTTCAGCATATAGTCTAGCTCATGTTAGTATATTGAAGTACGGTTAATTTTTGTATGTTGGCATTGTATCCTGTGACCTTGCTGGATTCACTTATTAGTTCTAGGAGTTTATTCATAGATTCCTTGAAATTTTCTAGTAGGTCATAATGTCATCTGCAAATAGGAATCATTTTATTTTTTCCTTTTCCAATCTGTAGACTTTTTATTTTATTTTCTTGCCTTATTGCTCTGGCTAGTTCTTCCAATACTATGTTTAATAGTAGTGGTGAGCTTGGACCTCTTGCTTTGTTCTGGATCTTAGGGGGAAATCATTAATTAATTTTTACACTTCTAGCTTAAATTTTTTTTCAGACAAAAATCAAATCCAGCTCATCTTTCCCCATTGATCACTATTGCTAAGAAATCTTTCTTTTATTTTTAAGTGAATTTTAAAAGGATGTGTTCCTGTTATCAATTAGTCTTGGAAAATGAGAGCCTCTTTTCTCTATAGCGCTCCTCTTGCCCGGCTCTTTCTCAAGGGCGTGGACGTTGATGCCCTCTAGTGGCTTCATTGAGTCATGTTCCTCGGCTCTAGCAGAGAAGTGTGTGATTGCAGGTGGATTGGGCCCCGGGACCATGGAATCCACCTTTCCCAATCCCTAAGAGGCCCAGGGGCCGGCTGACTCTCTCCTTCCCCGGTGTCTGCAGATGGTGGTCTCGAGCCCGTCTCTGGGTCAGGTGGTGGCGCCGGTGTCCGGGAACAGCCTGGGTGTGCGGCGTGCTGAGATCAAGCCCGGGGTGCGGGAGATCCATCTATGCAAGGACGAGCGTGGCAAGACCGGGCTGCAGCTGCGGGCCATTGACAAGGTAGGGCTGCGGCCTGGCGGCAGGGGAGGGGCCCCTCGGAGGGCTAAGCAGCCTGAGAGCCGGAGAGGGCTGTGCAGGGAGGGGGTGGGGTGGTCATCCACAGTGAGGAAGACTCAGAGTGTGCTGGGAGCAAGGCCCACCTAACCCCCAAGCCCAGGCTCTCCCTCTCAACCCCTCCCACAAGGCCCAAGGACTGATACGGGATTGCGGCAGAGACCTGCCACCTGCCTCTCCCAGGCCCCTGTTACTCAGAGCCTCCCCTCCCCTTGTCCCCAGTTCACAGAGATCTGGCTGCCAGGCGGCTGTTTGTAGGGCCTTGCTGCCCTTGTGAGAAGCTGAGCAGTCTCCTGGTTGTGGGTGCAGCCTCTAGCCAGAGGTGAAATTCTGACTCAGCTGCTCCCTAGCTGTGTGGCCTGGAGTGTTTCCTCTCCAGGAAGATGGGGTGACCAGTGCACCTGCTGGCAGAACTGCAGTCCGTTTCCTGCAGGCCCCGGGAGGGCCGGGGAGGGGAACAGCAGCTGGGAGGAGAGACCTGGGGTCTGGGTGCGGGGAGCTGACCAGGGCCCTGCCTCTCCTAGGGGCTCTTTGTGCAGTTGGTACGGGCCAACACCCCCGCATCCCTTGTGGGGCTGCGCTTTGGAGACCAGATCCTGCAGATCGATGGGCGTGACTGTGCTGGGTGGAGCACCGACAAAGCCCACCGGGCAGTGAAGAAGGCATCGGCCGAGAGGATTGTCATGGTTGTTCGGGACAGGTGAGTAGCCAGTCGCGGGAGCCTCTCTGTTCATCTCCAGTGACATCCCAGGTCCAACTCACTGTTCCTTCCTGCAGGCCGTTCCAGCGGATTGTCACCATGCACAAGGACAGCACTGGCCACATTGGCTTCGTCATCAAGAAGGGGAAGGTGGTGTCTATAGTCAAAGGGAGTTCCGCGGCCCGCAACGGGCTCCTCACCAACCACTACGTGTGTGAAGTGAATGGGCAGAATGTCATCGGGCTGAAGGTAGGCCAGCGGCTGGGCTCTGCCCCAGGACTTCAGAGGCCGGGAGGCTGCTGGGTGGGGGGGGAGGGCCCGTGTCTGTGGGCAGGCTGCTGCCCCGTCCGAGCCCGTTTCTTCATCCTAAGGCTGCTGTGAGGGTTCAATAAGACAATAAGTACATAAAACTTTGGGCAGATAGTAAGTGCTCAATAAATATTAGTATTGCTACTAACACATGGAGGCCAAAGGTGTGGCTGAAAGAGGGGGTGTGGTAGCCCATGGAGGGCCCCAGGTGCCCAGGTGGCTGCTGGCTGCACGGATACCTCCTCACTTTCTGTGGTACTTCTGTGTGCATCCTGGTTCATGTAAGAGGACTATTTTGGAAAATTGCTATTCAGAAATCCATGACTGACCTCTGTTCATTTTTTGAGGGGGGTGTGTACGGTGACTTTTATCTTTGAAAAATAAGACGGGGCCGGTGGTCCAGAGTCAGTGCTGTGGAGGTGGCCTGAGGGGTCAGTGCCTGCAGGGACTGAACTGCGGATGATGATGAGTCACGTGGCCCTTGGACTCTGGATGAGCGAAAGTAATTTTATCCTGATTTGATGTGTCCTGGGCTACAAATGGTTCTCATCCCAGATGTAATTTAGACGAGGGCCCCCTCCCCTCCTGCAGCCAGGGCTTTGGGCTCACGTGGCAGGGTCCCCTGGCAGAAGCGGCCTGGGCGGTGTCATTCATCGCACGGCCGCCACAGCCTTTGAGACCAGTTCTCCGCCTCTCGCAAGGGCCCTCACCAAGCCATTCCCGTCACATGGCTGCTTCCCTGTGCTTGACAGTTGCCCCCACTGTCCCTGGAGGCTGGTTCTGGTGCTTCAGAAAGTTCTTCGTAAGTCTGTCCAAGGGCCCTCCTCCTGCATCTCCCCTCAGGGACCAGGCATGACAATCCAAAGGGAACCCACTGTACCTAAAATGCTGAGCACACCAATGCCACTTCTGAGTAGCCGGCTCTTTCAAAGCACTGCAGCTCATTGATCCTAACAGTTGAGGAGCAGCCGTTCTGTAGGTGCTGCCGGCCCTCTCCTTCCCGGCGGCTCCGGGCTCTGCTGTGGACTTACCAGTTGTTCTGCAAACCACAGTGTTGTGGGCTCTTACGACTGCGCTTGTCCCATTTCTGAATGGCCCCAGAGAGCTATGCTCTTGAGATTATCTTTTCAAAGTTTGTCTCCGTTCACTCTGTGGCCATCCCTAGCCCTGTCTAGCACATCTTCTCCCACTTACCTCGGAACAACTAAGAAAATATAAGCCAAGTTAGAGATATGAGTAAAGTCAAGGTTATGAGCCTCTGAGTAAGGGCCAGAGGCCCTTCTGTGGCCATCGCTTTAGCATTTGCCCTGATTGGCACACTCTGCGTAGAGACTCGTTTCTTGCGCACCCCCGGATCACCATGGCTTCTGCTAGCCTTTCTCTTTTTACTGGTGAACAAGATGTAAAAGGAAGACATCTCGTGTGGGCTCAGCGCAGGCCGGCTGGCCAAGAGGGGCCCGGTGGGTGGTGGTTATTCTCTTCCTGCTCTGGGGCCAGAATCCGAGCGTGACTGGGGCTCGGTGATGGGATGGAAGATGTGGCCTGGTGAGATTCTGGGGCCTACGCGGAGGAGGGAAGGACAGTAGTAGTGTTTATAAGGCCCTGTTACACGTCAGGCCCATGTGACTGGCCCTTGAGGTGAGGGTGGCGAGCGGCGTGCCCATTTTACCACGGGGGCCTCAGGAAGAGGCCCACATTCTCGCTCCTGCGGCGCCTCCCCGGCCCTGGCTGCCTGCCTAGGATGCTCACCTGAGGGGCAGTCCGCTCCGGCTGTCAGGAGGCAGCAGCGCCCTCTAGCGGGGGCCACGTTGACCACCCCCTCCACGGAGTTGCCTGCAGAGTTGCTTCGGGGCCCCAGGGTGACCACTCGTTTGCCTCCTCCTAGGACAAAAAGGTCACAGAGATCCTGGCCACGGCCGGGAACGTCGTCACCCTGACCATCATCCCGACCGTGATCTACGAGCACATGATCAAAAAGTAAGACTGCCCGTCTCCTTTCTGCCCCTCGCCTCCTCACCCCTCCGCTGCCCCGGCTTCCCCCAGGCTCATGTGGTGCTGCCCTGCCCGCCCTCCCCTCCCCTCCCTTCATGGTGGTGGCCCGTGGCTTCTGGTGATTTGAAAGTCTTAGGAATCAAAGCGAAGGCCCGCATGGGATGCACAGGCTGCGGGGGAGGAGAGGAGGCACTGGCAGTTCTGGCCACTGTCCTTGTTGCTGTTTTTAGGTTGTCCCCGACCCTGCTCCACCACAGCATGGACCACTCCGTCCCAGATGTCTGAAGTCACAGGAGGGCAGCTCAGCCCTTCCGCCCTCCGGCGGGAAAGGGACGGCCCTCCAGCCCGGCAGGTTCCAGGGGCCTGCTGCCTGGGAGCTGGGGGTGTGTTCCAGGTAGGGTGACGTCAGATCCCATCGCCTGTCATTTGTAACACAGGCCTCCTTGGCGCCTCAGGCTCTTGACTGAACTAAGGCAGGGGCAGGGCCCACAGGCAGCCTATTCTCTGGGCCTGTTGAAATGCTGGGCACGCCAACAGGCTGGCTACATGCTTCTTGAAGTTGCAGCTTGGGCCCTTTCAAGATTTTGCTTCTCCCAGGGAAACGGTCCCACATCCTGAGAGAACAGAAATATATCCTTTGTAAGAATTTTTCCTTTTTCCTTTCCTTGATCTTGGTCACAAACTGTACATAGTTGTAACTCTTGTTTTTTGAATAAAGCATTGATTTTAAATTAAATTTCTTCCGCAAAAGTAACTGGAAATTCCAGAATTTCAGTGCCATGACATGCCGCAGCTGGTCTTCTTTTAAGCACATGTGAGACCAAGGCCTCTTCTACGCATTGCGTCACAGTGATTTGGCTCTGCCACCATCTTGTGCTGCCTGCCAGTCTGAGGACGGGTGACTAGCATGTGGGACTCTGGAGGAGGGGCACCGGCTTTGGAGCACCCCTGCTCCCGGGGCGTGGGCTGCTTCTGCAGGGGCAGGCTGGGCGTGAGAACGACCCCAGGGCGTCAGGGAGGAGCAGCAGCCCGGGGCCCACAGCGGCTGCACGGCAGCGCTGAACCTGCACGCCGTGTCCCGTCCCCTTGACCTGGGAAGAGCTCTCTGCCGCTTGGCTTCTTCCAGGTGCACACTCTGCCTCCCATGCGGGTGAGGACAGTTTGAGCCCCCCTTCACCACCCCTACCCCCTCAGAAAAGAAGACCCTATAAAGAAAACAGGCTGAGGGGCTTGTGTGTGTTTTCATGCTTTAATTCAGAGCTGTCTGCTGCAGGTACAGCTCTGTGAGAACAAAAGGACAAAGGAGACAAAAGTGAATACCCCTCCTCACCTCCCCCCTTCCCGGATCCCCTGAATTCTGTCGAGGGGATGGCTGAATAGAAGAGTGCGCTGTGACTCATGGGCACTGCGCCCCTAGGTCGGAGAGGAGATCATGAGGTCACTGGGCAGAGGCCCCTCAGTAGACCTTTGCCCCAGAACCTTGTCATTTGCCCACCCCTCCCCAAGGCGCTGTCAGATACCGCTGTGCGAGTGGTGACTGGGAAGGGTGTTCAGTGAAAAGCTACGTTATCCCCTTGGGAGACAGTCCGTAAACTGCGCTCGAGGCCAGCTCTGTGTGCAGAGTCCCAGCCCCAACTCTGATGCCTGCCCAAGCCTGGACCCAGGGAGTGGCAGGGCCGCTCTGGCCTGGACGCTGCAACCAAGAGGCCACTTCCAACCACGGGGCTCCAAGGCAGCAGTTCCAGAAAGTAGCTCCTGGAAACACTATCCCCTAGGGTCTAATCGGCTCTGGCCGAGGCTGGAGGAAGGGGAGGCCCCAGAGATTTCTGCTCCAGAAGCCGAAGGCAGGAGGGAAAGGTCACAGCCCAGCGGGAGGAGGTATTAAGCAAGTGCCTGGAGGATGAACACTCAGCAGCCCAGCCCCTGGCCTTGCCCTCCGGCCCCACGTTCTGTGCCCTGCATAGCCGGGGACAGGCCGCTGCACCTCCGCCGCCTGGAGCTGCACATTTTGCATAGATGTGGACACTGAGCACACGCACACGCACACACGGGAGCCCTGCGGGGCCACTGCCTCTGTGGCCCCAGGCTCTGTCCCAGGGCTGGCCAGTAAGCTGCCTCCTCCTTGAATACAAAGAAAAGCCTGTCGAAGGCCCCACCTGCCCCAGTCCGCCCAAAGAGAGGGCCCTCAGTGCCGTGGGCGAGGGCCCCTGTGGCCCAGACAGGCAGGTCTCGCAGGTCTCCGGCCAGAGCAGGCTCAGAGGGCGGCAGCTGGCCCCACTCGCCTCACTGGGAGGCCTTGGGTCCAGGCCCAGGCCAGACCTTCCCCAGTGGCTTCTCCGGCAGCTGGGACAGCGTGGACTATGGCCCCAGCCCCAACCACGTCCACCAAAACACAAGACACAATAGGAAAGCCACAGACAGCAAGACACAGACAAGAGCAGAGGGGCTGTGCAGCTCCAATAAATTCCAGTGGTGAAAAATACATAGGTTTTATGTTGTCAAGTAGAGTCATACATTTATTTTCTCAGCAAAGCTCTGACTACTTCTAAGGAGACACTATGCAGCTCCGTGAGTATGCGCGGCACAGGATGCTGGTGCCGCGGCCGGTCCTGACTTGGCTTTGGATTGGGTTTGCGCACTGCCCCTCCGCGCCACGACCCCAGTGTCCTTGGGGCAGCCCTGGCCAGGCCCCAGGAGTTCGGGTTTAGTTCGGCGGGGGCGGGGGTGCTCCACAAAGGATGGCTGGTCTGAGGCCCCGGCCGAGGTGGGGGAGCTTTGGAGGCACAAAGCGCGTGGCAGAGGGGGCTACCGCCCTGATGGCTGGTGGCCGCCCACTCCCAGTGCATGCAGGTGCCCCGCCTCGAGGGGAGGGTGCAGAAAGGGAGGGCAGAGCCCGCGAGTCAGGAAACAGCTGCTGGGGCAGCAGGGGCGGGCAAGCAACCTTGGCAGAGAACCAGAGTGGCCCCTAGGCCAGAGGGGTGAGTAGGACACAGGGCCCCACCGACTCCCTCACATGTGGGGCCTAACTCTGAAGAGTGGGCAGGACAACCAGATGGGTGGAAACCCCACAGGGAAAAATGATTGGATTTACCTTGTAACAATGGTAGTAAAATGTCAGCAGCTTTGCAGAGGGGCCCAGAGGTGGTCCTGGGGAAGGAGGGAGAACAGTGAACCGTCCCAGGCCTACTGGGCTCTGGTTGGGAGCAGGAGGTGGCAGGGCTCCCACCGGCCCCGCCCCACCCCAACCCGGGACACGTCCCAGGGCACCTGCTTTGGCCCGGACGACGTCATGGCTTCAGTCCCCCATCTTGCCATTCATCCTGCCAGAAATGCCCCCTGAGGCAGATTAAGTCTAAGATTCAGGCACCCGCACCCTAGAAAGTAAGCAGCCACCTTGTTGGAGATCTGGGGATGCAAGGGAACCGAGCCCCAAAGTGAATATAGTGCAAAGCAGAAGTCGGGCCTGAGGCCCCAGAGAAAGCCAGGGTGAGCTCCGGGGGCCGTAGTGGCCTCTGGCTTCCCACGCCAGCTGGGGACTGCTGAGCCCAGCGCAGCCTCCCAGACCACAGGGCCTCATCTCCCAGGCTGGAGGGGCGCTGAGCTGCCAGCCCTGGCTCCGCTCCCTGTGGGCGGACTCCAGAGGGGAGCCCTCCTACCCCAGCCCTGAGCCTGCCTGGCTTCGCATTCACAGGAAAAGTTATCAGACACACCCAGGAGCACCAGGGGGAGAGTGGATCATGGAGAAGGTCTGGGACAGACAGACACAAAACCCACACTGCCCTCTGCCACCTCGTACCAATCACTGTCTTGGCACCCAAGCGGGAGCAGACTGAGGAGGCTGGAGTTCCAGCCCGGGCCTGGCAGTCCCAGGCCCGCTCGGAGTCCTGGTCAGGAGCCTGTACTTTGGGTCGCAGCTGCCTCTTTCTGAGGGGATAATACTGGCCCCGAAGCTGGGCAGAGGGCAAGGGGTGGCATGGAGTGACCCAGGAACTGGACAGGATGTGGAGGGGCGGGGGATGGGGCAGCTGAGGCCCGGCCTCCCCAGATCAATACACCAGAGGCTTCCTGAGCAGGGGCTGCCCTTGTGAAGGGCCAAGTGGAAGGGGGCTGGGTTGAGGACTTCGCCATGTTCCCTCCCCGCGCTTTGTCCAACAGTGTGCCTCCCTGCCCCCGGTCTCTCTTCCCTTCTCTCCTGTCCAAGCTGCGGGGTGACCTCCCCCAAATCCCCGACTCCCAGCCCCCGACACTGTTACCATCCTGGAAAAAGCACTTCCAAATCAAAAACTAAATAAATAAGATGATACCCCACGGGAATGTGTGAGAGGGAGGACGGCACCCCTACAATCAGCGGTCTGGCCACCAAGCCACAGGCTGGGACGGGCCTCCTCAGAGCTGAGAGCCGCCACCGCCCGCGGTGCTAGGGCCCAGCGAGCGGCAGCTGATCCTGCGGATGGAGTGCAAGGCCACGGTGCAGCAGCCCCGCAGCAGGGAGCTGATGTTGTAAATGGGCTGGCCCTGGCGCCGCTGGGAGCGGCAGAGCCAGGCCACCGTGGGCACGGCCGGCACCACCACGGCCAGCAGATCCACAATGTAGTGGCGGCTCCAGTAGCTCTTGGGCTCCTTCTCGGTGGAAGCTGCCTCCTCTTCCTCTTCCACGGGGCACGCCACACTCACCGACAGGCGGGAGTTGGGGTTGGCACCAGGCCGGTGCGGGCTCGGCCCACGAGTGATGGGCTCTGGGACCTCAAGCTCATCACCCACTGTCACCACCACTGCCGAGTTGGGGTCTCTGGGCCCTGGGGGGTGGGGATCCGGCTCAGGGCACCTGTCCCCTGACTCAGGACCTGTCCCGCAGACCTGGGCCTTGGCCACCTTCTCCAGGATGGCATCTGGGTCAGGCTGGTACTGCACGAAGTCTGTCTGGATGGCGCGCTCCTGCATGCAGCTGGCCTGCACGCCGGCCTCCGTGCCGCACAGCAGCTTCGCATAGGCGTTGCTGGCCGGGAAGCGGGGAGCCAGGCTGAACGAGCTGTTCGGGGAGGCCTCCTCGGGGCCGCAGTCCACCCCCGATGACAGCAGGCTGCTGGCCTCCAGCGCGTCCGTCCGGCTCATGGTGTCATCATTTGCCACGAAGCCACTATCAGCCCCGTCCTCCGTGTAGGAGCCAGGCTGGTCCCCAGGGGGCCGGTCCCCACAGACAGCTGGGTCACTGAGCTTGGTGTAGGTGGAGCTGCGGGTGAGGGAGCGGGCGGGAGAGCCACCCGCTGACTCCCCGGTGCCGTCCTCCTTGGCCGTGCCATTCTGGGCCACCTCCATGCTGTGCAGCAGTGTCTCCAGCTTCTTGTTCTGGATGTTGATGTCCACAAAGTACTTCTGCAGCCCCTTGTCCTTGTCAATCAGGTTGTTCTTGACTGTGTCGATGACCTGCTTGAGCTGCTTGATCTCCTTGCGGGCTTCCTTCAAGGCCAGCTGGGCTTCCACGCGGTGGCACTCCTCCTCGATCCAGTCCTCCTGCATGCGTGACAGCTGCGTCTTCAGGTCATCGATCTCTGTGTCCCTGTGGGCAGATGAGACACACATACTCACTGCCTGGCCTGGCACCACCACCAAGGCCAGGCAAGGAGGAGCTGTCACCAAGGACTGAGGGCCTGTGCTCTTGCCACAGAGAGCCAAAAACAGAAGGAACTTCTCCATGCCTCCTTCCTGCTCCCCTTTACTCCCCAGGGGGAGTGAGTGGGCGTGGGAGACGGGTCACGGGGGTGAAGACAGGAGAGGCCTCCCCCTGGGTGGCGGGAAGAAGAAATGGTGGTAAGGGACACTGGGCATTCCCACCCCAAGGGTGCAATGCAGCTGGCTGTCCACATTCAAGTCTATTACCTACAGAAGAGACTAGACTCTTAAATTGAGAAGATCCTCAATTTAAAAATGCTACTGCTATAGAAACCTAATACATCCTTAAAAATCTTAACATCAAAGAACAAAATGAAACCTAAAAACTCTGTTCTATAGAAAGGGGTGTGGCCTCCTATGAAAGCCGGCTGGGCCGTGGACATTTTAAATGAAGGGATACTTGGCCAGAGGCTGCAGGGTAAAGGCAGTGCACAACTTTGGTTTTCAGGAGAGAAGTTACCACCTTCCCTCAATGGAGAGAGAAGTGGATGAATCAGAGAAGGGCGAAGACAGGGTAGTGCTCTCTTATCCAGGGTGGGTGTTAATTTTTTTGTATCCACAGTGAAGAGGAACACCAAAAAATGGGCAAAAAAGGCACACAGCTGTTCCCAAGAGAAGAGGTGAGCGCCAGGCAGGCAGCAGACTCCTGACCAGAAACTGGCGGGTTTTTAAATCCCCAAGTCACCGATGATTTGGGGTGGGGGGGGGGGAATGGGCTTAGACAAAGATGCCATCAAGTCCAGAAGTAAAACCAGGGCAGACAGAAAGCAGTGAGACCGGAAATCGGCCCTGGGCAGCCCCGCTTCCGCACACCTCTCTCGGGGACGCAGCCCCGCAGCCCCACGCAGCCCCGCAGCCCAAGCCCTGCATTCGTGTGAATAAACCACCCCCAAGGGTACAGCGTCCCTTTGGAGTTTTGGAGAGCCCGTTAGAGCGTTGGCCCAGATCAAGCACCATGTATTTTCCATGTGAGACTGGGAATTCAGTTCAGGGGATGGGCCCAGGACTCTCACGCCACAATTCACTGAAGGGCCTGGGCTGAGGAGCTGCAATGGCCATCAAGGTCATCGACCGCATCATCTGGAAGGGGACAGACCACTCATGGGACACAACTTGGTGATGGCAGCGAGAGCTGCTCGGAGTGGCAACAACAGCCATGCCAAGAGCTATGGGGGTACATGCCCTTCCCTCCTCCTGTCTCAGGGTGGGGGCTCTCTCCAGGGTGACTCTCCTCACTGACACGGAGCCCAGGGATGAAGGGCGAGTCTGGAAGAAGGGCCTGGGCGCGCTCAGCTCTGCGGGCCCCTGCCCCCTCTTCTTGGAGCCGGCAGGACCCCTACGAGCTATGGTGTCCCAGCCTTGCCAAGGATATTATTTTTTAAATGCATCCTGAAGGATAAGTGTGCCAACGAAGCGAGACAGGGAAAGGCCACTGTAGGATGCGGGGACACAGACTCTGAAAGCACAGAGTGTAAAGATTTTCGCGGAGAAGGTGGGCTGCCGCCAGCACGGCAGGCACCGCACTGCCTGTATGGGGAGTGTGTGGAGGGTGACCGTAAAGCAGGTAAAGATCCTTTGCAGGCTCCTGCCAGGGCAGCAGGCAGAGCGTGGCCAGGGACCTGAGGTGCAGGCACATCGCGACGGGGCATCCTGCCTGAACCGCGCAGAGCAGATGGCTGCTCAGAGCCGCCAGGCCAGACCTAGAAAGGAAGCTGTGAGGTGGGCCGTCTCCTTCCTGGGGACATGAGTGCAGACAGCCAAGCAGACCCAGGGCACCGCTGAGAAGGCCAGGGGAACTAAAAATAGAAGTCCCAGCTCTCCAGACAGGGAGGCCCACAGAAGGCCACCTGCAACTCCCACAGTTCAAACCCACGACCAATCCAAACTGGGCTGGCTTCAAGGAAGATGCGGCCGTGCATACTACATGCTTCCATTTATCTGCAACGTCTGGAACAGACAAATCTGCAGAGACAGAAAGTTTCATGGTTGCCAGGGACTGTGGTGACTGCGGAGAAGAGGGGCGTGACTGCCCCTCGGAGTGCGGTTTCTTTTTGGGGTGATAAAATGTTCTGGGATTAGGTACTGGTGACGGTTGCAGAGTTCTGTGAACATAATAAAAGTAATCACCTTGTGTGATATGTGAGTTACATCTCGATAAAGCTGTTACACAAGGAAAAGGAAAGATAACGCAAGATGCGGTCGCGGTGGCCTGCCCTGCCCCGGCGCCTCACACAGCGCCCTCGTCCAGCTCGCGGTCCGCTGCGGGTTAGGATCAACGCAGTCTGGGGAAGATGGTCAAGGTGAGGAAGGGATCAGAGGGCAGCTCTGAAGCTTCCGTCATGCAGACGAAGCCACGAGCCTGGAAAGGTAGGGGCTGGGAGGGTAAGCGTTGGCCCTTAGGTCTGAAGAACACACTCAGATGGGCCCGAGGCGGGTCCCGGGAGACCCCCGGGCCGGGTGGGAGCTCCGCACAAGGTTCCTCCTGATTGTGCCTCATCTACAAGCAGATGAGGAGGAAGGCTTCTCGGCCTGAACTTGTGGGTCAAGAGTCCCCCGGAGACTGGCAGGGCCAAAGGGCTGTCTCTCCCTCAGAGGGAGGGGAAGCCAGGAAGATGGCCCTGTGCCCCACCTCCCCAGGTGGGAAGGAGCCAGGGAGAAGAGGTGGCTAGAGGGGCTGCCAGGCTAAAACCGGGACAGGCATGGGAAGTCTGACAAGTCCTCACAGGGGACACAGGGGACACTGCTCCTGCCCCGGCCCCAAGCAGCTACCTAGTCAAGGAGAGCGGCTGCGGGAAGGACAGGGACAGGTGGGCACTCTGGCTATGGCCCCCAACCAGGCTTTGCCGGGAAAGGAGCCCCCAGCCACCCCTTCCCCCCAAAGGTGCCCCACGGCCCTGGTTCCTCAGAGTGCGGAGCGTGGCCCCGGGACTGCCGAGGGCTGCCCGTGGCCGCCTGCTCACCGGTCCTGGAGCCGGTCCTGCGTGTCCTTCAGCCTGGCCTTAAGGTGCCGGATGCATACCTCCTTCTGCTGCAGCGGGGTCAGGTACTGCTCGGGGGTGGGCGGCTTGATGCCATGGTTGTCGCTGCACAGCGTGTACTTCAAGGAGCGCCTGCAAGGGGACGCTTGTCAGCCAGGAGGGATGGAGAGAGGAGCAGCAACAGGAGGCCAGCCTCACCATCCTGGTCCCAGGGCCCCCAGGAGGTTCTAGGTCAGGCCTCCCCGACGAGGGCCCCTGGGAACTGGAGAACACCCAGCCCTTTTGTGGAAGGTGGGTTTTATCAAAGCTCTTCTGAGTGAAGACCACAGCGTCAGGGCGGGGCGCTCCAGGCTCTTCTCGTTGGGGTTGGGGGACACACTAGAGAACACACGCACAAGCCTGGCACCGGGCCGGGCACCTTCCTGACACCGTCTCCATCAACCCAGTCCCAGCGGGAGCTCAGGCGTCCCACCTCCCAACCCCAAGAATGAGTCAGGGGCTGGAGGCTGGTGGCGAGGGCCTCTGCCTCCTCGTAGTCTGCACACACACATTCACTGGGAGTGCACACAGGGTATGTGGCTTCCCGGGAGGTCTTCTTTGTGCCCGCACGCCCACATATGTGAATGTGCACCTGTGCCTGTGCATCCCCGTCTGCCGCCCTCGCAGGCACTCGTACGTGTGTGGACACCAGCCCACGCATGCATGCATACAAACGCACACAGCCCTTCACTCTGGGGCACACATGAACACACGTTGTACCCTGAGCCTGAGGTGGCAGCACTGCTCTGGTGGCCACATGCTCCCCAGCGCGGGGCGGCACAGATGTGCGTGTGTGAGCACGCCCCGTCCCACCAGTGCAGCGGAGGAGCGAGGGTGAGGCTTTCACCCAGGGAAGGAGGGGACCCCAATTCCGCCAATAGACCAGGGCCCAGCCTCCTCGACTCCCCGCTTTCCTTGTTCTGTCCATAGAAAACCCCCCTTGGATCTTGGCTTAAAGGCCTGGACATGTTCTCACTCAACGTGGCCAGAGACTTGCTGCCACCCAACTCCTTTGCTCCTTTAGGGGACGGGGACTCCCAGTTGTAGGGAAGGGCAATGACATATTATGGGCCTGGAAAAGACAGGCCCTGGTGAAGGCCGTCGGCCGCAGTTGGGGGCAGTTTTAGAGGTTTTGTAGAGGCTGTCTCATGTTTACTGAGGAAAACGTACTTGTTCATTATAAACTGTTGAGGAGAAAGTGGCAATAGAAGTGGAGAGAAAGAGAAGATTTTCTTCTCTGTACTCAAGTGGTCCCTACGTTTACCTCCGGTCAAATCACATGCGCTCCTGTGTTCTGTGTGGCAAAGGGCAGAGGAGCAGCGTGGGGTGGGAGCTCAGGGGGTACCCCTCTGGGGAGCTCTAAGAAGCCTCTTTCCAAAACAGAAGGCAGCCAGCAAGCGCCACGGACCCCGGATGGCCCGAAGCCCCGCACACCGGTCCTGTGTACAATTCGGGGCCTGCAAGGACTTTGGTTAGAGGGGCACAGCTCTGTGGTGAGCAAAGGGAGGTCTTCTCCCCACGCCCGGTGTGGAGGAACCAGGATTAGCTAAGCTAGGAAGTACTGAGGCTTCGAGAGGAAGTAACTATTTTAACTTTTTCATTTGCTTTCATGAGTAGTTTTCCCCAACATAACATTTAACACTCATACATTTTTAGTCACTAGCTCTATCTTTGTGGGGAAAAGAAATTATATATATATAATTCTTTATATATATATATATATAATTCTATATATATATGAAGAAAGATTAACTACAATTCCTGTCTCTCAGCGACTCATGACTGGGAACCCCTGGCCCCTGTTCCCCCGCAGCAGCTGCTCTCGTGGGGGCCAGAAGACCCCCGGGGGCTGCGGTTATGACATGCATCACAAACATCTGCTCCTGAAAGGAAAGCGTAAAGGTTGCCAATTACGTACTTTTTAAAATGTAAGTATGCGTATCCATCTTACTCATGCCCCTGTGTTTTGGAGCCTGGGGCTACAAACCGAGTGCTGGGGCCTGCACGCGTGTGCCACCGTCACGCGTGTCACTCATCCAACGTGCCGCCCACCAGTCGTGCCATGTGGGAAGCTCTGGGGGCTGCTGCCTCAGCACGAGCGGGGCATCGCTCCACACAAGCGACACCCTCTTCACTGCCATGGGCAAGACAAGCCTTCCCCAGGGCTCTGGCCGCAGGGGCTGCAGGCCCGAGGCCTCTGGCCCGCAGCTCTCAAGGACGACCAAAGTCCTGATGATGGCAGCTGCCCGTGAAGGGCCACCTACAGACGGCAACCACTGAAGCCTCCGGGTGGTCGGCTCCGTTTTACACGTACGGGAATGGAGGTGGGAAGCAACCGCATCCCAGGCCTGCGTTCTCAAGCCTCCACTTGTATATCAACACCGCCGGGCAAACAGGACTGTGCCATCGGCAAGGCTCTAACTTCCTGGCCTTTGAGGGCCCCTGGCTCCCCTCCCCCTGCTTCCCCCCCCCCACCCCATCCTGCTTTGCAAGTCTCTATTCGCGTTTCCTGAGAGCACAGATGAGGCTTGGTCACACACTTTGCTTTCCAAACCCACTCTGCCCCTCTCACCTTGGAGTGTTCCCCCGAGGAAAGTGAGGCGGCAGAGGCTGCAAGCTGCCCTCCCTCGTCATACCAGGGAGAGCACTAACCCTCCCTACTACCTGGCCCCACAGCCAGTCAGCCCCACCACCCCGGTTCCAGCCAGCAAGGCGCACAGAGGACTTCCTGGAGACCTGTCCCTTGCCAGAAAACGTGAGCCCCTGGAGGCCGGGGGCAGGGGGCTTGGGCTTTCTACCTCTTTCCTTCCTGGACATCAACCTGGAGGTGTAGGAGTCATCTTACAACTGTAACACCAAGGACAACAGCTGTACACTGAGGATGACGGAGCAGGAAGGCAGGTGACGGGGCTTCTGACACTTCAGAGAGCGGCCTGCCGCCAGCTCCCGGTTCCGAAAGCATTGCTCCTAGGGTGTCTGAGACACGGTCTTTGCTTATGTGCAGCTGGACAGTTTCATACCCACCTTACAGGCACAAGAACTGAGGCTCAGAGAGAGGAAGTGACTTGCTTAAGGTCGCAAGCCAATGAGTGTTGGGGACAGTTAGGACACCCACTTTCCCCTGCCCCGAGGGCTCCGAGGCTCCCCGGCCGGCAGGGCGGGGCCTGCACACAGGGCGGGGCCTGCACACAGGGCGGGGCCAGTTACCTGGGCGTGGGGCTGCTGTCACTGCCCTTGCAGGAGCCCGAGTTGCTGCTGCTGCTGAGAGAAGAGGTGCCGTAGGCATCCCGCACGCTCACTGGAGAGGTGCGCCTGGAGGCAGGAAGAAGAGGCAGGTGCTCGTTCTGGCTGGCGGGCAGCTGCGGGCACTGGGCGAACACTGCCAGGCCGCTGCGGCCCAAAGGGCCCCTACTTCAGGGTCACCGCCGGGAGAGAAGCAGAGGGGAAATGGGGGAGGGTGCACAGACAGGGGTCACAGAACAGACAGTGCAAATCAAGATGGAAAACCAGAAGGAGGCCTCTGGCTCCCCAAGGCAAGAATGGAGGCTGGGCAGGGCTGCAGGCCAAGGGTGGGGCCCCATCTGCTTTTAAAGGGGCCTCAGCTTCCAGGGCCCTCGAGCCCAGAGGAGGAGGTCCCTGCAGGGGCGGAGTCGCAGGCGGGGAAGAATGGGGGCCGGCAGGACTACAGACAGGAGGAGGAGCACACGGGGGGCGGGGCGGAACTCAAGGGCAGCCCAGCGGGCCTGAGCGGAAGGCTGCATGCCACCCCTTCAGCAATTGTGAGGATCAACCAACAACATTGATGTTGGCAGCCATCCAATGGTTTAAGTCTTCAGAGAACTTTACATCCACTATGTCATTTGTGCCGTTAAATAGTTCCAGGAGGAGGCAAATGTTAGCAAGCCCATTTTAAAGACAGGGAAGCTAGAGAAATGACTTGTTCAAAGGCAAACTGCAAGCTGGTGGCAGAGTGGGGACTGTCCCCCCACCCTCTGTCCTCTGAGGCCAAGGTTCTGGGCAAGAGGGAGACTCACCTGCGGGATCCAGCAGAGGCCCGTCTACTGCCCGACAGGGACATGGCCATGAGGCTGCGGGTCCGGGTGAGGGGCGGGATGGGTGGTGTCCCGGGGGCTGAGGAGAGAGGGCGCGTTGGGGGTGCCGCGGGGAGGGCCGGGCCGGGCCACGTCATCCTCTCGCTGGGGCCACTGCCCGGCATGGCTTTTCCTCTCGCCTTTCAGCAGGACACCCAGGCTCTGGCCACAGCTGGCTCCTGCCACCCGACTTAAAATTATTGGCAGAGCCTCAGGGCAGCCAGAAATCATCAGTCCAACCCCGTGTTCTCCAGACGAGTGACTGTGCCCCACAGAGAGCGAAGGCCTGCCCACGGTCACACAGGCGTCGGGGCAGGGCCTCCTGACCACCGGCGCAGCACTGCGTCCTCTATGCTACGAGCCAGGCCCCCTGGACCCCTGACACTCGGGCCCCACCCCTGTGCTGGTCGATCCTCCCTCCTCGGTGGGGGCTGCAGGCCGGAGGTCTCCTGGAGCAGGACCAGGAACCCCAAATTATGCTGGGCTAGTCTTGACGTCACCTTTCCAGAGTGCCCGTTGGCACGTGGCTTGGGGTTTCCCGTCTACAGGGGAGACAAGACAGACCAACATACCAGCACACGTGTAGAAAGACATATGGATACACACAGTCACAAAAACGTACCATGTCCCTGACATTCCAAGACGTGCTACACAGCTCTCAGAGAACATGCTTAGGGGACCTACACACAGTGCAGGACATGCAGCCGGGGCCCCCCCGCACATGTGTTGCACACACGCATGCCCACACTCATCTGTGCAAAAACGCATGCTGATTCTGGCATGCACCAGGCACTCAAGGAACAGGCTCACAGCAGATGAGGACTGGGGTGGGTGGGGGCAGGAGCCCTCCCACGGGGGTATATCGGTGGGGTGGGCCTAGAAGAATGTGACTGTGTCTGCAGAGGCCCATCCTTGGCCCTCTGGACAAGCAGGTAGGGAGACTCAGGCTCTCGGGCTCCTGCCTAGGAGTCACTAGGCTCCTCTCCAGGGAAGGGGCTTGGGCTCCAAGTACAGCCCCACAGGAGTTTAAGGCCGGGGGCGGGAGCCTGGGCTGGGCGGGGTGTTCACTGCAGTGGGCAGGAGGCCTGCATGGGGTGTAGCCCAGAGCTGCGGAGTCCAAGTGGAGGGGCCTGGGCTCTCTGCAGCCAACATGCTCGTCCTGTGTCAGCTCCTGACACCCCAGCTCTCTTCTTCCATGCTCAGAGCAGGGACTACAGACAGAAGCCTGGGTTTCAGGAGACGCAGCTGAGGACACGGTACCTCACACGTTCCCACATGCTGGGAAACAAGCATTCACCAAGCCCCGCTAGATGTCAGACCCCAGGCCAAGCTCTTTACCCAGGCCAAGCACGTTACGTACATTACGCCATCGACGCCTCTCAACAACCCTATGAGGAAGTGCTGTGATTAGTCCCTTTACAGATGAGGAGTCCAGGCGGGGAGGGACTTGCCCGAGTCACACCCGCCTGATGGTGAAGGGGCTGGACCTCAAACCCTGGAGCCCCAGCCAAGGGCACCGCCCCTTCCCACGTCAGGGCCTCCAGGGAGCCTGGCCATCCTGGCCAGTGGCGGGGCTGCCTCCTGAGCAGACAAAGGCGCTACTCAGGTGGCCTGTTTCCTGGCTGTGACACAGAGGCAGCCTGTTCCCCTTGGAGGGCCTGGACACAGCCAGCATTGTCTGCGCAGAGGTGTCGGGTGCCGGTGCGGGAGCCTCCGACACCATGCCTGTCACCTGAGCTGCTCACCCCTGCTTGGCAACGCGTCCCGCCCATCACGCCCCGATCACCCAGGCAGGGCCTCCTGGGACTGTAGGGCCGGCACCTAGAGGAGGAACCAGAGGACAGGGGCTGGGGCAAGAGCAGCGCCCCCACGCTTGTCAGAAAGGTCACTCATGGCTGACTGCCGCCTGCCTCCTGAGCAAGTGCGCCGAGCCCTTTGTGGCCAGGCGACCATGCTGAGAGCTCTTGTTCTCCCAGCCCATTTCTTCAAAGGTCAGTCCCTCAAGGCAAGCGGGCCTTGCTAGCACATTTTGGCCAAGGTCACGCGGCTGCGGGTCCGACAGACCCTGGTTCCTAGCCCCAGCCAGCCTGGCTTCTCTAGCCTCCTCCCATCATCACGCCCTCCCTCTGGCTTTTGGGAGGATGCGAAGAGGAGGCTGTGCCTTCAGGGGGACTTCCCAGCAGAGGCGGGCCTCCGATCTGTGGACAAGCCTCGCTCTTCCAAGCCAGCTGGGATGCGTGCTGTGCTGCTAAGTAGCTCGGGTAGGAAAGGCCAGGCGGAATTCTAGGCCTAGGCAGGCAAGGTGCCTGGCTTGCCTTAGAGCTGTGTGTGGCCGTGGTACAATGAGGGCTTTGTCCCAGCTGTCTCTGCTCCTACCTTGCTTGGCAACCCTACGCCTCCTCCTCTTGAGCTCCCTCTTCCTTCCTCCCTGTCCAGGGGTGGGAAGGGGACTGCATTTGTACCTGGATGGAGCCAGTGGTCTCCTGGGAGGCCAGAGCCAGCCATTCATCCAGGACGGAGGTGGAGGTGGCATTTCCCCTGCTGGGACGGGACCTTGTAGGCAGGGGTCCCTCATGGGAGGGCGCAAGTCACCCAGGCCCAAAGGGAGCCACCTCTCTAGGATCCTGCTCAGAAGCCTTAGTGCAGGGCCTGTGCTCTCTCGGTTCCACCCTCCCCTGAAGGCCCCCAGAGAGGAGGCAGGTTGCTATGGCATTTGTCACTGTGCTGCCTGCTCGGCCTGGAGTCCCACAGGCCGGCCCCAGGTGGCCAGAGGCTGCCACTTGGAATGGAGGGTGGGAAGGAAACCCCTTGCCGTGCAGAGCTTGGCTTGCAGTCTCTCATCGCCTCACCCCCGAGTCAACCCAGCCCCTTCTCACTCCAGTCCCTCCATTTCCTTATCGTGCCACGGCCCCGCCAGGGCCACGCTGCTGTATCACGCCTTTGATCAGCCCCTCACATGCCCAGCATTTCCTGAGGGCCTACAACAGGGGTCCAGGGGCACAGCAGGACCTGGGAAACAGCGGAGGGGAGATGCAGGAGCAGTCAAACAGATCTGGGCTCAAATCCCAGCTCTGCCACGCTCCAGCCGCATGCCTTGGACAAGTCGTGCCGCTTCTCTGAGTGTGAGCTTCCTCATCTGTAAGTGGGGCTACGACAGAGTGCACCCCATGTCATTACTGTGAGAATAACCCGGAAGAACGCATGCATAGGCCTTAGCCCACTGCCCCCTCACACAGCCGGCACTCAACAATGGGGACCGCCAGTATTTTGGAAGTGCGTAACTGCAACGCAATGTGAGCTTCCAAACAGAAATGCATTCAAGGCACGGTGGTAGCTCAGGAAGGTCAGGGAAAGCTTCCTCGAACAGAAATTTACACTGGGTCTTGAAGGGTGAATAGGAGTTCACCAGACAGAGAAAGTGAGCAGGAAGAAGGAAGCCTGGGCAAAGGCAGCAGGTCAACAGCACGGCTGCTCAGGAAACTAGGACACCTGGTGAGGGCAGAGTCACAGTGGGGGTGAGGCCGCGGAAGGTGAGGCCCAAGGACACAGAGCTACAGAAGCCAGGATCTTGTCCTGTGGGCCACAGGGAGTCACGGAAGGACCTTAAAAGACGGAAGAACACAGTCAGATTGGCATTGTAGAAAGCCCCTGGGCAGGGGGCTTTTGTGGAGTAGGGCTGGGCAGGGACAAGAATAGAGGCAGGGAGATGAGGTAGGGGGTTATCAGAAACTTCCAGGTGAGAAACTAGAAGGGCCTTGGCCAGGGTGGCAGCGGGGGCGATGGAGAAGAGGGCCTGAAACTTCCTCAAAGCTCCATCAGAGGCCCCTGATTAAATCAAGATCGTGGAAAGCTCTCGATCCTGGTGTTCAGGGCCCTCTCCTCTGTACCCTCTCCAACCTGCTCTCAGCTGCCTGCTGACCCCCAGGAAGACCTGTGATTTACTCTCACATTTCTGCGTGGGCCGTCTGCCCACCCTGCAGCACCGTCCCTGCCCTGTCCTCATGCCTGTGTCGCACTCCGGCACTTCCGGTCTGGACCACTTAGCATGCCATGCCTTGGTTGAAATGCCACCCTCTGGGGGATTTCATAATAATAAGCACAGTCAACACACAGCGGTAAATAACACAATGGTTCAAACAGGCACATGTGAAAAGCCAAGGGGTTGGATTAGATGGTCTCTAAGGTGCTCCTGGATCCAACATCCTGATTCTAGAATCACAGAATTCTAGGGCCGTAAATGAAGTGATGGGCCAGCTGATGCTTCCTTCCCCTTCGATGACGAGGCCTCCTGGGTTTCCGTTTCCACAGCTGTAAAATTGGGAAGCTGCATTCTTCAAAGAGACACTATGGTGTTTTACTGAATCAGCAAGTCACAGCGGAGGAACCAAGTGCTTGGGTTAATCTAATATTCTAGCTAAGTGAAAGTCCCTGCATATACTATAAATTATCTCCACCCCCCCCAAAAGGATTAGCCATCAATAAAAGAAAACTCTCCTTAACATCCGTCCAAGGGAACAGAACAATCTGTGTCTGATGACTCAAGCTTCTGGTAGCTGTGGAAAGCAGAGCATCACGACCAACAGAATAGAACCTAGGGGGGTGGGCATGGGGGCTCCTCTCGCTGCCAAGGCAACACTGAAAGCAGAACATTCCACCCATCAAACAGCAGAGCGCCCCGTGCTCCCAGAATGCTAATGTGGAGAGCAGTAGGGGACGAAGGACCGGCCTGGGAGCATCCCAGCTGCCACACTCAGGATCTCAGAGGACCAGCACTGGGATGGTTATTCGGGGCTGAATTCAGTAAATCTTCCACTGGCTTCGCAACCTCCTCGACCACAATGTTCCTCCACACTGTCAGCGAGACCTGTGACCGTTCCTCCTGGACTTGGGGAGGGAGGCAGTGGTGGCATTTCTCCAGCTTGCTTCCTGTTTCCTGGCCCAGCTGCCCTCAGAGCTGGGACCAGAGACGGGAGCCGCGGGGACGCCTTCTCCTCTCCGTGGCAACCCTAGCACAATGGCAGGGCAGGCCCACCGCCGGGCCAGGGGCTGTCTGGCTTCCCTGGGCAACCAATGAGAGACCAATAGTCAGACTCCATCCCAGGGCTTGGAGGGCACAGAGCCCAGTGGTCTGGACGCTCACCAGGGAGCTTGCCTGTGGGGCTGCTGTGGGCGAGCCCGGCCTCCTCGCCATTGCACTGGAAGACGCCCCTCTTGTCTGTGTGATCCATGTGTGGACCGTCTGAAGTAAGACCGCGTTTTAAAAAGGTCTTGCGGGTTAAAAATCTACATAATATATATTTCCCACAATGAGCTACTACTTCCCATCCACTAGGATGGCTATAATAAAAAAGATCGGCAAGTCTAGGCGAGAACGTGAAGAAACTGGAACCTGCATGCATCGCCGGTAGGATGGAAAATGGTGCAGCTGCTGTGAGAAATGGTCTGGCGGTTCCTCAAAAGTTAAACATAGAATTACCGCATGATCCAGCAACTCCACCAGTGGGTACGTGCCCCACAGAAGAGAAAATAGGTGTTCAAAACTTGTGCAGGAATGTTCATAGCAGCGCTATTCACAATAACCAAAAGGAGGGTATCCACCAATGGATGAATGGATAAACAAACGTGGTATATACATAAAATGGAGTATCATTTAGTCATAAAAACTAGTGAAATACTGATGCATTCTAGCACATGCATGAACCTTGACAACATTAGGCTAAATGAAAGAAGCCAAACACAATGACCACATGTTGTAGGATTCCATTTACAGGAAATGTCCAGAATAGGTAAATCCAGAGAGAAAGAGAGAGAGAGAGAGAGAGAGAGAGAGCGAGCGCACAAATTAAAGAGCAAATTGGTTGCCAAGGGCTGGGGGAAGGAGAAATAGGAAATGACTTAATTGGTATGACATTTCTTTTTGGATTGATAAAAATGATCTGAAGTTAGATAGTGGTGATGGATATACAACTTTATGAATACAACAAAACCTCCTGAATTGTACATTTTAAATGGCTGAATTTTATGTATGGTATGTGAATTATATCTCAATAAAAAACAAATTTAAAAATCTATAATATGTCTGTTTTAACTGAACAGTTGTACAAGGACAGGCACAGTCCAGGAAGGGAAGGAGACTGCCCAGGGCGGCCCAGCAAGGCGCAACATGATGGGAACCAGAGCCAGGCCTCCGTCACGTTCCTGGCTTCAGGGTCTTCCTTGGGGCTCCCGAGGCCGGGCCGGCCTGGAGGGGGCAGCACCAGAGACTGCCCCTTCTGAAGGCTCTGCAAACCCACACGCCACCTAAGCCTCACGCGTCCCCTGTGGAGGGAGGCCAGGCAGAGGCTATTCCATCTGACGCACGGGAAACCTGAAGCTGCAGAGACTGTAAGATCACTCAAGGTCATGCCGTGGACTTCCAGGCCATGAGCTCCTACATTTCTACTGCATCATGAAAGTCTCACGATACAAGAGACCTGGGACACATATCATTCAGCTGCATGAAAGAGGAAAAAAGCCACTTTCCCAGGAGACTCTCAGACCACGGCGAGATGAGGGGGATACAGCCCTACAACCTGGCCTCCTCACGCTTCCATAAAAGCAGCCGCCACAGAAACAGGAGGGAGGCAGGGCAAGGAAGACTGTGTATGCCTTTCCCTGCTCCTCCACGAATCGGCCATGGTGGCAAAGGAGAAGCCCCACCGTGAGGACCACTGTTCTCAGCTCTTCCAATGGCTGCTGCGACCCAGTCTTTAGCCCAGGCCCTGTGCTAGCCTGCCACAGAGAGACCCTCAGTTCCCCTGAGCCACATCGCACGGTCCCTCTTGGTGACCTTGGGCCTAACCCTCTTTCGTCCCAGCTGCCTCGCGTATTCAGTGGGAATCTCCCTCCTGATCCCACCTGCCTCCTCAGGATCCAGTCAAGGTGATGAATGGAGGGATGGGGGACATTCTCGGGCAATTGGAAGACTGGACATGTTTTATTATTACAGCCACTGCTTCTTGAAGGGGATCTCTCTCTTTTATCCTCTTCAGAGATAGCCTTTGCCTTACCCACTCAGGGCAGGTCAGAGCAGGCCCAGGGGGTGACTCTGAAATTCCGGGCACCTCTGCCAGGCCTACTCCCGTGTGTGGCTCTCCAGGGCAATGTCTGGCAGGCCTCCAATATGGGAGCAGCAGGTGGAACACTGGCTTCCGTCCCTCCTCCATCCAGCTCTGTGCTAGGGCCACCCCTCCGCAGACAGCCATGGGGAGGTGTGGGAAACAGAGGGGCCGTGGGGCTAGTCCCAGCTCGGTGGCTGCCTGGCAAGTGGCTCCTGGCAGATGGAGGCCCTTCAGCGACCCTGGCTGCAGCATATGCTTCCCTGGGCTTCCTGGCGGACAGTGCTGCCAAGCCTCAGCCCCGCCCCTCGGCCTGCCCCCACTCCCGAGGCTCTGGCTCTAAGGCATCACAGCAGTGGGGAGAAGACAGGCCTCCATCCCTATGCATGCTCCCTTTTTACCAGATCTCTGTCCTGGTTCTTAGGGTCCTTGAGTCGGTGCCCTCTCCGCTTTTATCCCAGGTGCCGACAAGGGCTAACGCGCTCTTGGAAGTGTAGAGTAGAAAGGACCTTGGGTAGGCTTTGTCACAGCTCATCGTTTTATGAGACAAACTGACACCCAGAGAGAGCCTGGCATTTGTCTGAGGCTGCCTAGCAAGCAGGGTCAGAGCCTGGGCTGGGGGCTTGATTCCTGGCTCTAGTGACGCAGCTTCTGCACCACAGCCCCCACCCCCCACCCCACATTTGAATCCAGGCAAAATAAGAGCGAAGCGTAGCTTTATGACTAAAGAAGTCATGAAAGGAAAGCCTAAAGGAAAGACAGGAGAAGCCTCACCAACTCTAAGGAAGCTCACAAAGGACATGTAGTAAAATAGACATTGACTCCAAGGCCAAGGAAGAAGGGAATACCACAGTCTGACCACAAACACAAACATGGCAGCATCAGTAACAAGGTTCAGATTTGACTCCGGGCTTCCTGGCCACCAATGCAAAATGGGAACTTATGCCCAGTCTCCTTGTTCTCATGGTTAAGGGGGAGCGGGAAGCAGACCAACCAATTATTTGGGAGAATTATAGCCCTCCTTAAAATGAATGCTAAAAGAAATATCTGTGCATGGGATTTGCTGAAGGGGAAGAGGGCTGCCAGGTGGCTCCTAAGACAGAGGAAAGATGATGCCCTCAGAGCTCACCCAAGTCACCCTGTGCGTGCTGTGCTTCGCTGATGCAATGGTGAAGGACCCGTGGAATGCAAGGACCAAGGGCTACAGGGATGTGGCAATGTATCCAATCTGCCTGGGACCACGGCCCCTTCCCATGGAGATAGTTCCTGGCTCAGCCTGAGATCAGAGAGCTTCTGTCTTCCTGGGAATCCAAAACGGCACCATGTAAACTCACTCTCATTCATAATGTGTCTCTCATTCATATTCATTTCCTTCTCTCTCTCCCTCTCCTGGCATTTCATGACAATCTAGTCCAACTGCCACACTTTCTAAGCAGAAAACGGAGGACATGCCAAAGGCCACAGTGTGAGCTATAGGAGCAGGGACATGAGGCTGAAGGCCAGCTGATTCCGGTCCCACCAACCACTCTGGACACACCACTCCTGCTGGAAGCCAAGTCTCATCTATCTCCTTGCAGTTCCTGGGGGCTCTGCATGGAGTTCCTATCCATGGAGTCAGGAGCCTTCATCTCTCCTCCTAGGTCCTCTCTTCTCCAGCTGCCAGCTTCTCAGCCATCCACACAGCTGATTCCTGTCCAGCTGATTTCCAATGGCATTTCCCATGTCAGGTTGAATTCATTTGCCTTCGCTAAGATCCCGGGCCTTTGACAGGATCCAACACAGCTCATGCTTGCTGGAAGAGGGCTGGAAATCATCAACCTCCCTTCCAAGAAGTCTTCCCTCTCTGGAGAAGCTGTCCCATGTCTTAATTTAGCTAAAGTGAACATTTAGGAATGTTTTAGAAGGGAGATCCTGTAAATATCTATGTCCTATTTAAAAAGCCTTTTGTTGCTGAGAGGCCAACTAACCTAACAGAAAGAAATCATGGCTTTGGGTTCAAATATGGCTGGATTTGAATTCCAAACTCCACTACCCACTACCTTTGTGATGGTGGGAATGCCACTTCACTTCACTAAGCCACAGTGTCATCTGTAAGATGGGGCTAATTACAGCCATGCATGAGTACGGTCATGATTAGCAAGAGCACGTGCTCAATACCTAGCAAGGATCTGGTAAAGGAAAACATTCCATGAACAGCGGTGATTATGTATTCACCCAAATATAGTCTTTTAAAAAAAATCCTTACCCGAGGATATGCTTATTGATTTTAGAGACAGGAAGGGTTGGGGAAGAGAGAGAGACATCGATGTGAGAGAGAAACGTAGAACTGTTGCCTCCCGTATGCGTCTCAAAGGGGGACTGAACTCACAGCCTAGTTATGTGCCCTGACCAGGGATCAAACCCACAGCATTTTGGTGTATAGAATGATGCTCCAACCAACTGTGCCACTCAGCTAGAGCCACCTAAATATAGTCTCATTCTTAATGTTCTTCCTATGTATTACATCTTTATCGCACTCCAAAATCTTAATCTGAAATATTATAATAGTTTGTATCTCAGGATCCTTGACTACAGAATCATTTGTACCTACTTAGGTCAACTGGCTGCAGAGACCAGTGAACTTGCATGAGGGCGAGGAGGTGGCAACGCTGAGAGTGGGACTCAGAACCAATGCCAGCTGCCCCTGCAAATGACATCCACACTCAGCAACTCCCATCGGTCAACAACCCCAAATCCTGACAGCAGCGCCAGGAAAAAGAGGAAAGATACACGGCTGACCTTCCTGCTCTGTGGATTGTGCATCTGTGAATTCACCACTCCATACAATTTACTTGTAACCCTCAAGTCAGCACTCATGGTTCTTGCACGTCATTCTCGGACATGCGCGGAGCAATGGAAACATGCGAGTTGCCTGACGCCCATGTTTTCCGCTGAGGTGGAACAAGGTAACCTTCTTGCTTCATTTCTCAATTCTTTAACAAGCTTCCTTTCTGCAGTTTACTAATGCCATGTGGTTTTTGTTGATTTTGCTGTTGAATGTGGCCTGCAAGGGTAGTGCCGAAGTGCTGTCTAGTGTCCCTGTGATGTGCCTGATGGAAAAAATATGTGTCAGATAAGCTCCATTCAGGTATAAATTATAGGGCTGTTGGCATGAGTTCAATATGAATTAATCAACAATCTATATTAAGGAAGGTGTCTTTAAACAGAAATGCACATACAACAAGCTTATGTATTGATCAGTCGACGAAACTGTTGTGGCCAAAGGCTCACAGGACCCTAGCCCTGTATTTTCCCTCGGGAGCAAGGGTCTGGTTCGCACTAACTCAGGGTTGGCAGCAGCTTTCTAGAACACAGCTATTACAAACAATGAATTGGCTGTCCTAAGCACATCTGTCCAGCATACAGACTTGCACACGTTAGGTCTAGTTGTGTTTACGCACAAGTGTGCACACACAGACGCACTCATCTGCGCGCTCTCCGCTCCCTGTACTAAATGCTGCCGTGAGCACCAGCACCAGCAGTCCCTGCCGAGGGCAGAATGATTATTACGCAGGAGCTCAGGGTGTAGCCAGACATGCCTGGATTCAACTAAGAGTTACGCGCCTTCAGACCCGTCACACTCAGATAAGGCCAATTTCCTTATCTGCACGTGAGGTTAATCATTGCCATGACCAGGAAGCGAAGTCAAACTGCCAAGCACAGCATCTAACACACAACAACCCACAAACCACAGCTGGGGTATAGTTTCTGGCAGGCAGCAGGGCAGAGCCGTTTCAGGCCTATGTATTTGCCGAGGGCGTGTATGGGGCCCCAGCAGAGCCAAACGTAGGGCCTCTCCCTTCTTGGCAGGCTGACCTTCCTGCTCTCGCAGGCCTGGCCTCGTTCTGTCCAGCACTGTCTCCAGCAGGATGTGTGGGACAGGAATCCAGGAACCAGGGGGCGGGGTGGAGGGCAAAGCCAGAAGGCTCTCAGGGGCAGGCGACCCCAGAGGTCCCCAATGGGCAGCCCACAGTTCCTGTCATGCCTGTAGTCGATTTTCCTTGTACGTGCACATATTTTAACTTCAGTCAACATTTATAAATTGAGACCATTCACACTTTAATAGTCCAGATTTCTAGCTTGTCTTAAACAACCCCAAAGGCCCTGCAGCCTCTGCGTCTCACTCCGGCGCAGCAAAGACGGGCCAGCATTTTATCAGAGCTCCTGCTCTCGCACCTGGGCTGTAGTGGCAGCTGCCTAGCACTGGAGTGTGAGATCTCTTATCTAGCCAATCCCATTGGATGGGTAGAGGGTCTGGGGTCAGGGGTGGGTGACACCAGGTAAATCAGTGGTAGAACTGGGACGTAAGCCCTAGGCTCGCAGTTCTGAATCCGGGGCACTGGGATGCACAAGGAGGCTGGGAACACAGATCAGGGGGCTTGGGCTGTGGGGGACCTCCTGTCCAGGGAACGCCTACTGGGTTAGAGAGGGAGAGCGGGGAGCACGAGCTCTGGCTGTAGTCAGCAAAGCGCTCCTCTTCCCACCTGCTGGCAAACACCGACCTCCCCACCCTGTAAAAGAAACTCCTGCTCAGCTCTGTTGACACAGTGCTCTCAGGTGTCCCTCCCACCGGCCTCTCCCCATGAGCAGACGGAGACCTTTGCGATCACAGGGCCCCGGGGCGGCCTGCGGAGCAGGGGCTCTGTCCTAGGGCAGGATCCAGCGGAAACCTCGCTCTGGGCAGACTGACCATAAACTGTAGCTGTCTCATCTGTAAAACAGGATTTCAACGGCGAAGGTTTCGTTAGATAATGCAGTGAAGAGCCTGGCACACGCTACCCAACGATCGCTGGCTTCTTTCCCTTATGCTAGAAACCGAGGCCCAGAGACAAGTGAATAATTCATCCCAACAAGATCATGAATGAAAACGTGCTCCCTTAGCTCTGACTGGGTATTTCTTAAATGCTGAATATATTTACCAAAGTAGTTATTATAGTCTAAGAGTAGTATATACCTTAAAAAAAAAACAACCCTCCAGTTTCACTACTCAAAGATAAATCACTGATTAATTTTATTGCTGCCTCTTCTAGCTTGTTTTTCTAAGCACAGAAAAAAAACCTTTTTCTTTTCGGGGACTGTTGGTTTCATACAGTGATAACCATGGTATATATGAACCTTTGTATCTTTAAAAAAGTTAACATGGTTTAAGAATTGCCCATAATATGGCATATGTATTACAACAAGTATTTTATCGGCTGCATATTATTTCATTTCATGGGTCCATCATAGTTAACATTCCCTTTCTGTGGAACACTTAGACTTTCTATCAAAAAGAATGGTAGGTTAGATATCTTTGTGCATAACCATATTTCTGTATTTACATTTATTTCCTCAGAATGGATCCCCAGTAGATCTGTAAGGTCAACAAGATGCTACCAAACTGCTTTCCTACAGGGCTGAGTTGCCGGTTGACTCTCCTCCCTCCTAACACGTGCACGTCAGCTGTGTTTTCCACTCGACGATGCCACTGGCCCTTAGCCTTGCCTCCTAAAAGGCAAGGAGTTCAAGTTCAAGCACAAGGATTACCCCAGATGATCCTTCTGCGTCTCTCCGGCCCTGTGGCTGAGGGGACGACCGAGGCCTCCAGGAGGGACCTGGCTCAGGAGAGGCCCAGCTTCAAGACTGAAAGCGAGTCCCCCCAACGTTTCTTCCCTCTCATAGCTACAGTACTTCTCCGTGTGGCAGCTCGGAAGGGCCATTCCAGTCAATATTCACCAAGTGTCTACTGTGCTGGGTCCTCCTCGGACAGTCCCAGTGGTTGAAGCACGGGTCGGGCAGGGGCTGGGCGGAGGAGGCAGGGAGTCTGTGCGGAACTCAGGCGGGGGACGCTGGGGCTGGGTTCTGCAGGACGGACGCGCAGCTGTCTGCGCCGGAGCACTCCCGATCCAAAGCGGGGCTGGGGTTAGCCCTGCAGAGGCTTGAAGGAGTGGGACCTAAGGGGCTGGGTGTCGTAGACCAGACAGCGTGGGGGTGGAAGGGGAGTAGGGAGCAAGGCTGGGAGTGCCATTTGAGCCTGCAGGGAAAAGTTCTGGGCAGAGGAACGTCGAGGTCAGGTTGACATGACAGGAAGCAACCCTGGATCAGCTCTGATGGGAGGCACCGGGAAAACCAAGATGGAGTGGAGGAGTGGGAGGGAGAGAAGCAAAGGTGGATTCAAGGGAAACTTAGGAGGCAGATTCTTCAGGGCCCCAGGCATTTGGGCTGTGGGGAATGTGGGGGAGGGCAGCACCGTGGCGATGCCCAGGCCGCGGGGTGGTGGGGTCTAATCACTGCCCACTGACCATTCAGTGTCCCCTCTCAATAACAAAACCCCATTTTTGTTCAAAGGGGGCAATATAGCCAGCTTAAAACACACCAGTACCCAGAGTGACAGTGGCAGGTCTGGCCCGTGCACTGTCGCTGGCAACACCTGGGCTTGAGAATCTGGCTTGTTGTCGCGTAGCCCGCGGGAGCTACAAGCGAAGTGGGCGTCGTGCCTTCAGTGGCTGGGAGTCCTCCCAGGTGCCGGGACAGGGCTGTGCTGAGAATCGAGGCCTAGCAAACACCTGCTGAAGGAAGTCATGCGACCAA